TCCTCCGTTATCATTACAGACCACCAATAAATCCATCACACCTCTATATGTACAAACAACCACACACACAATATTCAAAACGATCATCTAATTTAATTATATTTTATCCGATAATGTATTTACTTTTATAATTCTAATGTTTATTTAAATTTATCTTTTTACTTTAATCTAATGTCTAGTTGTAGAAAAACCGTAAATATATTATGTTAATCTTATCTCCTTCAATTCTAATTTATTTCTAAAGACCTCACCCCCCCCCTTCGTTTCCCCTTTGAGAGTGCACAAGGTCCGTCCCAGGGTAATAGGGATTAATTTCCTTGACCCGAAATAGGACCTGCGATCGCACCGCTCTTGGAAAGAGTCATAGTGTCCTCGCGGACATTGACCTTTTCAGAGCCCTAGAAAAGTGCGTTCGGCTCGCTTCCACGCGCCTCCGAGCGTGTTAGCGAGATATCAAATTGCTAGTTACGTCATTCCATACCTCCTTGTCAGGAAGCCCTATCCTTCGGCTCCCGTTAATCTCTATTTCCCATATCTCCATTTTCCAAGAGGTTTTGACGTAACACTACCAACTCACGAAATTTCTCGAGCAGCATCTATTGTTACTGGTACGGTTTACTCGTGAATAATACTAATTATTGGTAGGATGGAGCACCCGTCACTAAGTAATTAATATATGGATACTTTTTGTGTTTTGTTAGGATTAACAGTCGAAAGTGGCGAGCAAAATTTACACGGTCAAAAAGTAGTCACGACACCACGTAGAGTTGCGATGCTGCGGTTCTTAGAATTCATAAAACCAGGTCCAACAATTCTTGTGGCTCACAATGGCCGGCGATTCGATACTCCTATGCTGCTCAAAGAATTACAGAGCCTTGGTCTCATGGTCGAATTTCGAGCAATTACTTGTGGCTTTTGTGATAGTCTGCCTGTCCTAAGAAAAAAACTTCCCGAACGAGTGAAAGCTAAGCAATCTTTCCGCTTATCAGCTTTAGCGGAAGAATTTATCGGAGATAACGCTTCTGCCGGCGCTCATAATGGGGCTGTCGATGTAAAAATGCTAGAAGATATTATTCGAGTTGTAGGTATAACCGATGAAGAGCTTCGCGCTGAGAGTATATCTATCGAGGGGATCTTCATCGAAGACGCGCAGAACGCAAAAACAAAGTTAAATAAGAATTCGTTTGACTGTATCAAAGAAGGCGTTTCAGCAGGCATGAAAACAAAAATGGCAAAAGCTGGTTTAACATTTAGTCATTTAAAAAAATCCTTTTTGGAAGGCGGCGAGGACGCTGTAACAGTTCTCTTAGCCTCAGATGTCAACGGACATCCTTGTGTAACGAAAAATAAAAAAGTCATTCAAGGTATAATCACGCAAATAAAGAATGTCATGGAAAACTCGTAATTACAGTTGTTGATTATTTTCATGCACCTTTAGACTTTCTACTCCTTCTCCCTAAACCGTCTAAAGCAAAATCCAAAATACATGTACTATAATTTGTGACGGCTCAATATCCTAATGAACTAAACAATATACTGGGTAATTTTTATTTGAAGATTAAATTGATATTTCACAACTAAATTTCACGCTTATACTTTGAAATCCTTATTAGAAGAAAGACCGCAAAGATTTACCAATCAAATGAATTAGGAAATAGCCAATGTCGATCGGACTTGGATCTTGATAGTCAAATAATCA